TCTTACTGGCTGGAGTTCCTTTGTGCTGCTCTTCAGGCGCTCTCCTGCTGACCTGTGATCCTTCTCCAGGCTCTGGGCATCTAGTGCTGGCCCTGGCGTCAAACTGGTGGGAGTGGGATGGATTGAGGTTCCCCTCCCCTGGCATCTCTAGTTTAAAGCCCTCCACCAGCTTGGCAAGCCTATGACTGAAGATGCTCTTCCCCTCCTCTGACAGATGGACCCCAACACATCTGTTTGCCATTTTCCTTTTTTTAACCACTAACACTTACTTAGTTGCATCTACAGATGCACATCGCAACAGTTGTCCTTATGCAGAGATTACAGCTGCATGAGCACGTGGATTTGCATCCACATGTAAGTGTACGTAGAAAGACTGAAATGATCCAAATACATTGGAAAAAGTCAAAACACATCTGTTTGCCATTTTCCTTTTTTTAACCACTAACACTTACTTAGTTGCATCTACAGATGCACATCGCAACAGTTGTCCTTATGCAGAGATTACAGCTGCATGAGCACGTGGATTTGCATCCACATGTAAGTGTACGTAGAAAGACTGAAATGATCCAAATACATTGGAAAAAGTCAAAGTAAGATAATTAATGATTAAACCTTTCACAAGGACTGACACGTTCTTTTCAAGAATTAACAGGCTTCAAAGAAGTACAACGAGCACATTCTTAAAGGTTTAAAATTCTTTCAAGAAGCAACCCCTCCCTTTTTTGTTTTGAAAAGGCTAACTCAAGTCTGAGAGATAAAGTGAGAAAGCACTTTTCCAATTATACACGGTTCATCTCCTATCAAGAACTATGAGTTATTCACTGGTACTAAACAGTACATAGGAACTAACCAAAATTAATTATTTGGCTATATCATATTTTACCACAGATTATCCAAACAGTGTCAGTGACAATCTGATGCTCGTCAATGAACTAGTGACATGAAACAAATTACTTTCTCAGCGTACAAAAATCCCGGCAGCAAGAATAAGGCAAGCATGAAGATAACCATTTCTTTCTCTTTCTTGTCTAAATTCCTTCTTATTTTTTCATTTTACTCCAAGTTGGCTTTTTTCCAGATAGGTTGGTTCATGGTCAGACCACTATGGGATCACTGGATTATTTCACAGTAAGAAAAAGAGATAAGAGCATCTTTAGCTACTGCTGTGGAAAAAAAACCCACCCAACTCCCCCTCCCATCCCCAGCCTTTGAACTGTAAGACGTTATCTCTTTTGGGAAAGTTATGAATTCATTCCATACTATAAACTAACCTAAGATTTATGGACATACTCATCATTTGGTAAAATTCTATCAACAGAAGGCTGAGACACTGACTGAATTTTAGTTTTTAGAGGATCACTCCAACTGAATATTTAATGTAAATACCGACAAACAGAACTGTTAGCAAAAAGACATTGGAGACATTATTTAAAGGAAATGATAAGTGTTTGGAGTGGTAGTAGTAGTTATTACTTTTGAGTAATTTACTGTTAATGGTTGCACTTAAATTGCTACATGAAAAGAATAGCACGTGGAATCACACATACACTGAATGGTTTTCTCCTCCCATTTTTCAAACCCACACTCTCTCAAAAAATCTGCGCCTGCTATTTCAAGAAATGCATTCACTTTGAGATCCAGAGTGCCCTTGGTTGACTACTGCTTTCAATGAAAAACTAGTAATTCCAGTGCTACTTTTGGATTTTAAGCTGACTAGAGACAGAACTACCATAATCCTTAAATAGTTTTGAATTCTAAAAACAAAATATAGACCATATCCACTTCAGAATATCTTGTTATGCAGGTGATAAAGGGTGGGGGCGTGGAGGAGGAGAGATGATATTTGTGAGCTAAACCAAATCATTTATTTACACAGGAGTAAAAATTCCAAGCCAATTGACCCATTATTAAAAACAAAAAGTTGGTAGAAGCAAAGAAAACGTCATAAATGTGATTTCCGCACAATAACAGCTCAATAGCTTGCAAGAAGAGAGCTCAACTCATAAAGCCTGTAAATGAAATTTGAAATTGCTAGCAATATTCAAAGACTTAAGATTCTTCAAGTCCTAATCCTGCATTCATTAGTTATTTTTCTAGTTAGCACTTTCCACCATTTTAGGAACAAATCCCAATAAATGTTGCAGATTACATTACTTATACAATTATATTATTTAACGAAATAGTCTAGCATTAGGCTTCATGCTAGTTCTAAGAATGAATTAATATTTTCCCTGGACACTCATCGTTCTAAGAAGAATTAATATTTTCCCTGGACACTCATCAGAACCTTCATCAGCTACCTTCCATGCTAATTAAAGGGGAGCCTTTCTAAGGCTCAGAAAAACCTTACCTTTACATAGCATACATAATAATACAAATATCAAAGATGTGGAAAAAAAACAGTGAGAAAAGAAGTAACATAAGTATACAGTCTAAGAGAACAAACATTTAATCTGAAGAAAAACTGTCATATACAGAGTATTTAATCAGGAAATAAGAATATTTAATATATAAATAATAGTTATTTTAAGAAAAATATTTTTTATATAATTAAATATCCTAATAGTTTAAGAATAACGATAACCAGGGTTTTTAAAATTAAATCTATTCCGGGCAGAAGACAGCTTTAGAAAACTAAAGCCAGCAAACGGCAGCAAATTGAACTTCACACGTCCCTGTAGTTGACACCCATATCAGGGTATTTATCATAAATTACTTCTATGAATTCCTGGAAAATGTATGTTTTGCATAAACAGTTTGGTGTATTCTGTTTCAGAGCAATATAAACAGTCCTTTCAACTTCCAAAAACGTGAAGTCATCAACCTGATTTAAAAGACATCTCCATAATTTCTAAGTCCGAGAGAATGGTTTGAGGCTAAAAGATTATCTAGGCATTGTCCCCGCCAAAAATATCCTGTCTCAATTTTCAGTAAAGACTATGATGCTGAGTAAGGGAATAAAAATACAAGTGTTAATGAAAATGAGATACAGAAATGGACATTATAATACCTGAGGAATAAAACTTCAGTCAAAAAAACCCTAGATTCACATCTGTTACACGATTCTAAGGAAACCAGCACATATATCTGGAAGTCAAAGAATTTTTATGAGTTTATCAAGGTAAAGGAAACACAGCTGAAGTGAAGAACAGTACCATTACTTAAAAAACAAAGGTTGTGATAAGTGCTGGTCTGTCAGTTTGCCCTTAACAATTTGATGAGGCTTACAAATAGATTTTGGGAGGAAAATGGTAAATGAGTAAATGGAAAGATATAACATATGAGTTATCAAAACACTGGTTCTCACAGATTCTTTGACAATTAATTTTCTAGATAAAGGAAATGCAATTTATCTATACCACAGAAAAGCCTCTTGCATGTGCCTCAATATACTAGTTTAGATGAAATAAAAGCAGAGTACCTGAACAGTAAACCTGAACTTTAGGTTGGATGAGGACTTGCCCAAAAAGGAGATAACAGCTTGTAATGAAAGGAAAAGTGTCCGGCTGGAAGTGTCACTGGTCCTGGTATTTAAGGCTAACTGTTAGGACTGATCCTATCTACAGGTTAGTTAATGATTTTGGTACAAAAGACTGGCATGTACTAATATATTTGGGGATATCACCACTAGAAAGCACATCAAAACGCAATACAAAGTAAAAACAGATGATGTTGAACATGAAAATAATCTGAATGGGAGTCACACAAAGAATTAATTCCACAATTTATTCTGACAGTGATTTCCTGGTACTTGGGTGAAAAAATACTACAACTTCCAAAATTAAGAGAGTGGTTAAATTAGAGGAATTAACGTGTTTTAATGTAGGAGAGAGGGGGAGAAGATTAAAAACCTACAAAGAAAAAAGGACAGAGGAAGGATTTTATACAATGGCACAAATAAAGCTTACTTGTCGGTTATGGCAAAAAGGGTGTATTTGAAGTACCTATTTTCTGCTTGGTCTAGGTTTAAGGCTGCTTCTAAGAACTATTTTCTGCCTAAAAGATTTTCCAGAACAGAATAAAATACAGTTTCGTCTTTTTGAATACAAACAACTTTGAAAACAGCTCATTTGTCAGTGAGAAAAACTGGAGAAGATGCAGCTGGGCTGAGGATTATCTGAAACAGTAGGAGTAACCACTGCAACAGAAGCTAGAGGAATGAAAAAAACCTACTACTACTACTATTAAACCACACACATCATCAAAATTGTTACTATTTCCTAATCCTCTAAAATATATTATTTCCTTCAGTTGAAATAAAATTTTAAAAAGCTATAAACAAACTGTAAACTGATTCTGTTTAATTGAACACATATTAAAATGTAATGGCTAAGTACAGAGCCTCACTGACAAGCCCATTCCATTTCAGTGGAGTTAAACCTTTTTCTTACAGCAGAAGATCTTGCTTTAGTAGTAGTAGTGTGACAACAATTTAGAAACATTGCTTGTAGGCAGCTTTCTATTAAGAAAGTTTCATGCTAGCTTATCACGCTGAGATACGCAAAATGTAAACAACGCCGTTTACTCCGTTATTTCTTTCCATTTCAATCATATGTGCTGGATACTTCAAAAGGTTTCAGATTTCTTCTTTATTACTTTGTATTTTTTATTTACATTTTGTTATTGTATAAAATAAAACACAGTAAAATTAAAGGAGCCCAATTCTATGGTCAGAATTTCCTTAACTTTTATACAATTACTAGAAACATATTTTCACAGGACTTCCACAAACTATCATCCTTGCATAAATCTTTACTTTAGACACTAGCCTCTGATTAACACCAAATATTTTCTGAAAATTAGAAGATTCTACATACAGTGAATTTCCCTTATCTATCATGGTAGTATATCTTCAAAGAAGTCCACCAGATTATTTAAACATGAACTCCCATGCCTTAATCATTCCAGATATTTGCAGGCAAATATATACTTTTATGAGTCTTCTCATTTCATCCGGATGTTCAATTTTCCTAAAAATCTAGTAACAAGTTTCTTAACACCCTTTTGATGCAATGGGGTCATGTGATGAAAAGGGGGGGGGGGAAGAGTTACAGACTAAAATAAAAGAAAAAAATTCATTAAAACTATTAGTGAGCTGTGCCAGACATTCAACAATTTGTTCTCTATTAGTTCAAAATCTGTATTAACAGATCAGCTAGAATATTCTTCAGGCCACCCCTATGGCTTGCGTTTGTAACATTCTCTGTGTGCATACTTCAAAAAGCCTAGCAATGAAAACTGCAATTACAGTATGAATCCAGTTTTTAAATAAAACACCATTGAAGTCCAATTTAAGTAAGCACTATGTTGTTTAGGTTCTTTGGTCATGAGCCAAGAGAGCTGAAAATGAAGCTCAACGACCAAGCTGGGAGTTCCATGACTTTTCTTGTTTAGATGAGTTGCTGACTGGCTCTGAAGAGATGCTGCACTGCTGCTCTGCTCTGGGGTTATTTTTTTGTTGAGTTTCCCCACCCCCACCACCACTCTTTTTAAATATAACTGAAGATTTAAAAATACAACAAAACTGGGATGACTGTCTGTACACAAAGTACTTGTACTTATATTTTATCCCAGAGTTTCATAAGCTGACAGAAAGGAAAACGTATTTAAATATAGATACGTTTTAAGAGAAAATCATTAAACATGGGTCATTTACGCTCTCATACCTGTTTAAACAGTTGAAGATTGACAGCAGTTTCCAGGAACTGCTTAGTAGTACTGGAACGATGCTTCACAAAACTATTCTCACAGAAAGTTATAGGCTCTCCCTAAAAATTTAAACAGAAGAAGTTAGATGGTAACTAGAGTATACAAATATGCTGATTTATTTAAAATTCTCCATTACAAATTTATTTACTAATATTCAATACATTCAAATATTGCTTTTCAAGCAATCTTGATAAACATGCATCCAATTAAACAGACATAGACAACAACAAAAAAAGCCCAAAATCTTCATACAATATTTAAATAGTTCTCAAAATACATATTGCAATTGAACCTCTGGTTTATGAAGTCAGCCTACAAAATACGCATTGCAAGGAAAAAATAAGTGGTTTACAGTTGGTTCATGTTACCTTTATAGCACTCTTCATTAAAAATTTCAACGAAGTGGTTCACATTTTGAGGAAGAGCAGGTCCATTGCTTCAAATAATTTAACATGCATTACTGTTCAGGATTACTCTTATTCCCTGGCATGCTAAACCAGCAATACTAGTAAAGCAAAACTCTAATTCAGCCCAAAAACATGTATCTGACCAAATTATTTTTATATTTATTCTACCAAAACATAAGAAGATTGATAAATATACTGCTGATTTAACAAGAAATTATTGAAATACACATCTATTTTATTGTTATACAAAACAAAAACTACAAACTTTTTGGACCATTGTTAAGGAGAAAGTCTGAACAGATGAGATGAACGTTTAATACAATAAAATGTATTTCCCCAACATAGGAAAAGCACATAGCCTATAGTTACCAAAAAGCCTGCACCAAAACACTTTGATGATGAAAGAAGATAAACAAGTATTCTTTGAAAACGAAGTGTTTGTTGAAAAACTTATTACTGAAAACAGCACTCATTTAAAAATAAAAAATGCCAATAAGATTATCTATAAACAATCAAATTGACTCCTATGTTACTCCCTAATTTCATTTAAAATTTGCTCTCTTCAGTGTGCACAGACCACTGGACATTTCTGATGAGCATTCTCTCCAATTCTGTTATTCTTGTCAATACTTTGTGATAAATACTTGAAGCCGTTTGACTTAACTGGATAGGTACATTACAAAGTTTGTGTAGTGATCAAGGTACATGAACTGATTTCATCATAAAGCCAAAAGGCCTCTCACCCAAGTTTACAAAACCAAAATAATTACCAGGTTAGAAATGATTACCAAAGGTCTCAAAGACAGAACATTTGGAATCCAACAAAATGCCACACCTAAATCTACCATAGAATATTTTACTACCCAAAAGCTGCATATACAGTGCAGTCCCACAACAGAATAAAAGACACCTCAGCCATTCAAAAGAAAAAAGATCAAAGACCATATTGGATCTTCACAATGGCTCCAACTGTTAGCCACTTTAAAGACAAATTTATTCATGCCAATGATCACCACAGCTTTCTGCTCCTAACCCTGTTTAACTTTAACCGCACAGGCCACTTCACGCATTTTCCTACCATTCTGGCTGACTGTGCCGTTATGTGCTTCCAGAATATCACAAACTGTTTTCTGCATATGACCAAGGTGAGTTTGGTGGAGTAGCTCTAAATCATTTTCAACTGCTCTTTGCACCTTGCACTTCGTTTTAAAATGGTTCAAGTATGATCCAAGGAAATGTTGCAGTAAAAACACTGTGATATCATTTTAAAATCCTATTCTTACACTATCAAAAGCTTCCCTCTTTTTAAGTCTCTCTTTTAAGAGGTCCAATCCTACTGAGCAAAGTACTTAAGTTCATGTTTAACTTGTTTTTAAGTTTTACATCCTTACTTCTTTATGGAACCTCTGATTTTAGAAAAGAAATCTCACTGCGAGAGCTAGAGGCTATACATTTACCTAACATAACTCTTCCCCTTTCACAGGGTAGCTGGAATGCTGTGATATGCAAACCCATCGCAGCACACTTACTGACCCACTTTGCATTAGCTATTCTTGAGCTCCTAAAGACTCTTAAGAAGACGACGCCAAGCTACTTAGCAAATTCGATGTGCATCAAAACAAATAAAATAGTCTCCAGTGAGATATGGTGGTACAAGACATAGTGCTCCTGAGGGCAGACTCTCTTCTCAGTTCAAGGCAGCAAATTGTAACAACTCCTTATTTATATATATTTGTTGTTGTTGTTACACAAATAAATGATTTCTGGAAATACAGAGGCTTTGTGGGAGTGCAGAACTGACTAGATGATGGCTCATGACATACTATGAAACATTAAATTTAGTACCAAAGAGAGAAAATAGTATTTTCAAAATATACTATTTAGAAAAATAAAAACTAAGCTATGCCTCCACTGCCACTTTCCCAATTGTCTTGGGAAAGATGAAATAGAAAAAGGAGAGGTTATCTCCCAGCAGAAGAGAAGACAGGCATGCTTGCTCTCCCTTTCACGTCAGCCTGGGAAGAGAGAGCAGTCAGATAGTTTTACTTGATGGCACTTCTCCTGCACAAGCCATCTAACAGAACGCCAGGAAATGGTAGTTCAACACACATTTTTAGTGCATGGCTGTAATGTTTTCCCAAATACTTTCCTTTAATCGCTGGATGCTTCAGATACTTACTAAGCACTCATGCATTGGTGCATCTGTTCCCTTATCAGTATGATTCAGAGACAGAATAACCAAAGGTATTCCTTAGCTGTAAATTTACTTAGATCTATAAAGAGTTCACATCCAAAAGTCACCTATGTTATTTCAACCTACTGATAGCAAGGTTGCTTTAAAAACTTGAGTAGGTTTAAAGCTCCTACCTGTTCAGCACATGAAAATGAGAAAATCTGTTGAAACCTGGAGAAATTCCACACTGAAGTTTTCTCAGGGTATCTGCTGTAACTTTACTGAAATTGCATTAAATAATACAATTAACTCCTAGCTTTTTTATTTGTTCAAGGCTCTGAACAACAAAATTTTTTCCAAATAAAACTTTTACAAATCTTCAAGATTATTACTGTAAACACGAAGTCTTTTGAAGTGCTATTTAAAAAATAAATTATTGACTCAGTATAAACAAAAATAGCTCTAGAAGTTTTTGTACATAAAGCTTGTAACATTCTCCTTTCTGCAAATACAACCGGGCACCTTTAGAAACTGAATTTTGGAGGAATGCTCCACTGATATTTAACTACTAGACCATCAAATGGCCCGTCGTATTGATCTACAATGTACTTTCAAAGCAAGTTCGATCAAAACCCAGTGGGGACTCTATACTGAAAAGTAGACAGCTAATACTCAGACCAAACAATCTATGCCCAAACAAGATATCTGTCCTTTTAACAACAGTTGCTATAGAATTTTCTTCCCCTTTCATAGCTTGCCACACACAGCAGGAATTTCTTACTCTAAGCTACATTCACATTTTAAGCAAGCTATTTATTCAGACCTCAATGAAACATGAAAACAGTGAGCTAAAACAGCATGATCATTTTAAAAGGAAAAATAATCTAGATTAGAAGGTATGTTTGTGCTTTCTAAATCTAGTTCACCTGAACAAGAAGTACAAACATTTTAATTCTTTATTTCAGAAAACATTCATATCTCTCTAGCATGAGATGACTCATACCAACTATTTGTACCATTGCTATAATAAATGCCGTTTCATATGGCAGCTCTTGCTTATTACATGAAGAGTGTAAGGTATGTAGGTATGGACATAGCTTCTTTGGTTTTGTATAATTTATTTTTTAACAACAACAAAATTTTAAACACCATTTTGGTTTTGATACTAAAATTCCTCTGTTTAAAATCAAGAAAGTACAAAGCTGAAATTTCAGCCATTTTCATGACATTCAGAGATAAAGGCCAGGGGATAACCGAGCATGACCTACGATTCTACTCAGGAAGGTGCCATTTAAAATTATAAAAAAATTTCTGCAAAATTTGCAAATTTCTTGCAATCTACCCAAACAAAGATTCAGATATGCTGATATTTCTTATAGTCACAATTAAAACCTACAACAACTCCTATTAATACAATATCTATATTCAATAAAGGACTACTACGGTCCTTAAGACAAATTAAACAATATGGTTTTAAACATCCTTATGGAAGTCACAATAAATAGTCATAACAGATATTACACAGGGTGGTTCTGGATTTAAACACAAACTATGTTCTGGCATTTTATTACTCTCTCTCTGTTTCTGTACTCTGCTGTACTTTTTATGCCTAACTCGTGGGGGAAAGGTAAACAAGTCAATGCCCATTTCAAGAGATACCTGTCCTCAAAAGGTTTCATTTTGAAACTCAATTATAAGCAATCATTACTTATGCATTCTCAAGTAATTCAGGTGCATTCTGAATCTTAAAATATTTTTTTCCCAATATAACATTTAATTGTATTATTTTGCTTTATTGTATATTGAATATAACACCTGCATCTGTTGGAGAGCCGATGTCACTACTTAAAATAGCATCAATACTAGCCCAAAGCACTCCAGTCAGCATTCAATTAAAGTGAGGTCTGACAGGTGGTGCTATCTTCAAGCTGGAAGTTATCTCAGCACCCTTGGCGTGCTGATGAGACCATGAACTCCTACTGCTGAGCATTCCAGAGCAAGCCATTAGCCTTTGCTCTTCATTTCTTAATTTCTGATGAGGGATGTTACCACCATCATAACTTAAAACAAAGTTATCCCGGGTTTATTTCTTTTGTTGTAACATCAAGAGCTTTGAGGACTTTTTCCCCAAAAGAGGTGATTTTTTTTTCCAACAACTTAATCTTTTGTTTGCTAATTCTTGAAGAAAAGCCCATTTTTCAAAGGTAGAAAATAAGTTATTGTTGCTTATATTCCATAATCTTTTAATAGATGTGTCATAAATAAAAGGGTTTGCTCATTTGAAATGTTTGAAATGTATTTGTCTTGCCATGATGAATCACCTTTTTTTTAAGAAAAGAAAATTTAAAAATCACACCTATATATCCTCCTGATGTTTGCTGCCTAAGAGCAAACAGCTTTTCCACTTTGCTCAGTTTCCTGATGATGTTAAAATTAATCTCTATTATGGTGAATACTTTTATACTCATTTTTCCGCTCCCTCCTCATTCTCTTACCTACCTTTCCCTCTCTAGACATAGATTGTCAGTGGGAATATTGCCTGTTTAAGAATTCTTTACATCATACAGTGTTTTATTAACTGACCATACTGTGTATGATTGATGGAAAAAATTTACTAGTCTTTGCTTTCATCTGCAAGGTTTTCACAGGTACATGTGTAAGGCCCGTTTTCCCTACACCACAGAGTTGTTAAAATGTTTGACTGGTGTGGCTCTTGTCTGATATAAGGAAGGATGGCTAAAAATGACCCATGAAGAATGTGTAAAGTAAAATAGCTAGAAAAAACACAATGTTGCACACATACACTGATTGACAAAATGACACAACCTGCACAATTTTAATCTTTGTAACTCCCACCTATGCACGCAATTCTGAAACATGGAACGTGCAATCTTATTCCACAATGAATTCCCAAATGCTGGACTACCTAAAGAAAATAGGAGCAACAAAAGGTTCAAGGCTAGGTTCTGACCACCCAAAGTAAACATAATTTGGATTCGTATATGCATTTAGATGGTATAAGAAGCACTTATGTCACAAGACTGATCATGTCAATGTCTCAGCAGGGTTAGAGTCTTGTGATCAAAACTGTTTGTGATCACTGACGTTGCAGACCACGCAATGGCTCACATCGCAGATGCTAGCTGGGCGAGTACAACCATGCACTGACCACTTGCCCTTCTATATGCCAGGGCTCCTTATAGCAAAACTGTTTGAATGGCCTCATTGCCACTGCTGTAGGTCTACGCTGCTGGAGACACCCACCTCCCCCCCACCCCCACCCCCCGCAAAGTCCATACAATGACTAATGACAATTGGATTATTTTTCAGTAATTTATCAAATGACAGTGAAGTATGAAGTAATGAAAATCTGTTTTATTTTCTTTTTCTCTTTTGGATTATTTTTCAGTAATTTATCAAATGACAGTGAAGTAAATAAAGATGAAAATCTGTTTTATTTTCTTTTTCTCTTCCCTATCAAAATTTTGGAACAGTGATGAGATAGTAAGAGGTGGTATAAAGAATTTTTTCAATCATCCCCATCTACGATGCATTAACTGGATTCCTTCTGGATTAAACTAAAGCAGAGAATGAGCTCCAGCTAGTCATGGGTATTCAGTATTCAACACCAGACTAAAATAAGAACCACAATACAGCTAGAAATGCACACTGTGTGGATGTCGAGTCCTTAGCAACAACTGTACTGTTCTGCTCTACAGATCCACCCCTATTACGCAATATTTGCTAATGTAAAGTGTAGCATGTTACAAAAATATTTTTGGCAGTTATGTCAATTTGACTGATTTCTTTAACTCAGTATCCTGATTAAATCAGAAAAAACAACTACTCCCACTTTTCTTTGAAACTTTTACTGGATTAAGATTTTATTATCGTTTATTATACACAAAAATATGATCACCTTTATCTATTACATGTCATATCTCCTGTCTGTATTAGAGTAGTCAAATTTTCCATATGGTCTTTTGGAGTCCCATGAACTCCTTCCAAGACCCCTGAAGCTTCCCATTTTCCCTTTCACCAATCATTTTTTTTCAATAATTGCTAGACGTTTGTTCAAGACATATTGCTACACCGAGGAGAATCTGTCCTATGCTGAAAACAAACAGTTGCACAGAATGAGTGTTCAGTGTGATGAACAGCGTTTGGAGTGAAGAGAAGTGTTAGATGAGTACAGACACTATCAAAGCTGTTCTTTACTCAAAGTGAATATTAATGACAGTTGTTTCATGTTTCAAGTTAAAATCATACAGAACACACTGCTGCAAAGAAAATAGTTCACTTAAACATATTTTTCAACTTACTAGCAATCGATAACTATCCAAACACATTATTTTATTTTTCATCAGGATGTTTGCGATCCTAAAAATGGTACTCCAAAACCTTTCAGTTCTTGATTCTGGAAATTACCCCAAAACCTTTCAGTTCTTGATTCTGGAAATAAGACAAGCTTGTTTATAGCAAAAGTGTTTCAAATCTATACAGAAAATAGTCTCATTTAAGTATACCTCCTACAAATTTTCTACATGGATACTACCTGAGCTCCTGAAAGAATGTAAATAAAGTCCATAGCTGTGGCTTAGATTTCCTTATTAGATCTAGCACCATAGACTCCAAAACAAAGGGTAGTATTTTCTTTGCAATAACAATTTACAAGTTTTGAGACTCCTGAAAAATGGACCTAATACAGTCAATTGTGAACTTCCCAATTCACAATGCATTAAACTGAGTTCAAAAGGCTCATGTAAAATGAGCTGAACAATCATGGGACAACTCCTCTTAGTTTCCACTAATCCAGAGCAAATTCAACTTCTAATAAATAATAAAATCACAA